GCTTTTGAGTGTGGCTTCTGTCACACAGCATGATGTTCCTGAGATCCAGCCATGTTGTTGCCTGGGTCAGCAGTGTGTCCCTTCATGCTGCTGACTACCTCTGTTTTTCATTCATCGGTCCATAGACATTTGGATTATTTCCAAATACAGCTGCACCCACATTTGCACACAGGGTTTTGCGTATTTGTCTTGGGATCGCTGGTTCATAAGGTAAGTTTATCTTCATTAGAAATTGCCAAATTGTTTTCCGAAGGAGCGGACCCACGTGTTTTTCCACCAGCGGCGCAGGTGAGTTCCAGTGACCCCGCGTCCTCGTCAGCAGGTGTTTTGTCAGGTGGATTTTCCCAGTGCTCCATACTCTCGCCCTCTCCTTTGGTGGACAGGCTGCTGCCCTTGCGGCTGGGTGCTGAGTGCGAGCTGGGGAAGGAGGGCTCGGTTGTCCTGGGCGCCGGAGCTTCTCCGTGTTCCTGCCCATCCCCGCCCTCTGCAGCCAGACTGCCTTCTCTCTGAGGTGGCCTCAGACAGGGCTTCCGAACTCTAGTGCTATAGGTATAGGATCCCCACCTAGAACTGGTCTCTGCACCTCCCCCAGGCAAAGGGATTATTTTTTCTCCTACCAGAAATGAAGCCACATTGAGTCTCTTTGTCTTTTTTTCTTTATTGATTTTAGAGAGAGAGGAAGGGAGAGGAAGAGATAGAAACATTGATGAGAGAGAACACTGACTGGCCGCCTCCTGCACGCCCCCCACTGGGGATCAGGCCCACAACCTGGGCATGTGTCCTGCCCGGGAATCAAACTGGCGACCCCTTGGTGCCTGGGTCGATGCTCAACCACTGAGCCACACGGCCGGGCCACATTGAGTCTTTATATGGGCCCTGGAAGTGGCAGGGTTGGTTGGCCCTCTCCTAGCGGCTTCAGGCTTTTGCTCCTTTTAGACAGGGGAGGGGGTGGAGCGGAGGTGGGGGTGGGGCCTGGCACTTTCCCACAGCAGCAGCTGATCAGGCCCCTCCTGCCCCTACTGGGCTGAGCAAGTCTCACTCCCCCTTTGCCCTGCCCCCACTTTCTCCTGAGCACCCGGCGGAGGCCCACAAATAAAAGCTGTTCGTGTGTGCAAACTCTCCCAGCCATTCCAGACTGGCATGCCAGCAACACCTGGCTCCCAATTAGCTAACATTTTAGCTGACTTCTTCCCCACTCCTCGGGACGCCCTGTGTCTTCCCTCTGCCTCCAGAGCGCTGCCGTGGGGGAGCCGGTCTGTGCACCTCTCTCCCAGGGAGGGGCCTGCCTCCCTCCCAGCTCGGGCTACTTGGTGGCCCTGTGAACGAAAGTGATGCTCTGGTAGTAGACCCAGGCTTTTCTCAGGGTTAGCGCGGGAGCAGCTCTGCCGCGTTCGAGGTCCTGGGCGGCCGCGGAACCCTCTTACGGCGATGTAAGCCCGCCCTCTGCCTGTTCCCAGCGCCATTCCCCAGCTAACTGCGCTCCAGCTTGGTCTTCACACTCCACTTCCAGGTGCTCATTTTTGTTCAGGAATCTATTTGTCCTGTTGTCTGTTGCCACACAACAAACCACCTCAAAACATGGTGTCTTGGAATAGAAATGTACCGTCTCTCATAGTTCCACGCTGGCCTGGTCTGGCTGCGAAGTGTTCTCTAGAAAGCCCCTCTCCCTCGGCGGGCAGATGACCAGCAGAAGCCACAAGTGAACACCGGGAGTCAAGGTTCACTGGAGGGCCGTCTTTGGAGACTAGCTAACATCCTCCAAGCTGCATGCTAAAGGGGCCTTTCACATTCGGTCCTGAATTTATCTAATTACAAAGTTAATAGAAGAAAAGAAAGAACATTTCTGTGGCGGGGGGTAAGAGGGCTTATCAAATAAATCTTTAAAAGCATCAAGTTATAGAGGAAAAAAAGATAAATCTTATTACACCAAAATATAAGATTTCTGCCAACAAACTGCATGGAAGAAGTGAGTATACAGTATACTGAATGGGAGGAGGTGGTTGTGATATCTAAAACTGACAAGTAGTTGATGTCTAGGTATAGACTCCTGCGGATCAACTAAAAAAAAGAAGAGCACTGCACATTCTAAAACTTTGCAGAGGATATTAAAAAGCAATTTCTGAATATTAAGTCCCAAATGCTAAGTATATGAAGAGGTGCTCAGAATCGTTAGTAATCAGGAAAAAATGCAAAGTAAAACAGTGAGCTATCATTTTATACCTATTAACTTGGCAAAGATTAAAAAGCTAGATAATGCCAAGCGTGAGGAACCTCACACATTGCAGATGAGATGAGGACTGGGGCCGACATCTGGGCAGCATCTGGAAGTATCTATGGATACAGACCCATGAGTGGACTGCTGGATTGATAGGATACGCATATAGAAGTTGTCTAAGAAACTTCCCAGAAGCCAGGGAGCTGTTGAGTTAAGAAAGAGGTTTCCAGCCCTGGGCGGTTTGGCTCAGCGGTTAGAGCGTCGGCCTGCGATCTGGAGAGACCCAGGTTCGGTTCCCGCTAAGGGCATGTACCTCGGTTGCAGTTTGTCCCTGGCCCTGGTTGGCCGTGCGGGTGGCAGCCACTCGATGTGTCCCTTTCACATCCATGTTTCTCTCTCTCTCTCTCTTCCTCTCTCTCCCACTCTATCTGTACAAAAAAATGGAAAAATGTCCTCAGGTGAGGATGAAAAAAAAAAAAAAGAAAGAGGTTTCCAGCAGTACCACTTTGTTGTTTTGCTCTGTGTGTGTGTGTGTGTGTGTGTGCATGCATGTGCACGCACACGCGCACATGCCTGTCCCCTGCTCATGTGCTTGGAGTGGTGGTGGTAGTGGAGGGAGCTGGCAACAACCTGTGTCCATCACTGGTAGAACAATAAATCATGGTGGGTTCTCACCACAGAATACTAAGTAGCAGTTAGAAGCTACAGATTAAGTACACAAATGGCAACATAGATGAGGATCAACTGTCCACTAACTATTCTGTTTTGAATTGTCCACTATTCTATTCTGTCCACTAACTATTCTGGAATCAGATATGGCATAACAGTACCATTTACAAAAAATAAAAATACACAGAGATGAAACAACATGCTTTATTTTGCAAGAACATGTACAAACAAAAATACATATTAACACATTAGAAATGTCACTATTGGGAGGAAAGGAATAAAAGTGGAGTATAGGGATAAAGGTTAATGCAAAAAATAATTTTTTTAGAGGACTTTTATTACCTGACTTCCAGTCTTATAAAGCTAGTCATCAAGGCGGAATGGTATTAGCATCAAGACGGACAAATAGATCAATAGAACAGCATAGAGAATCCACAAATAAACTCACACAAACATGGCCCATTGATTTTTTTTAAAAACAAGTGTACAAAGGCAATTCAGTGGAGAAAGGAACAATTGAATATCCATATGCACAGAGCTAATTTGGATCCATAACTCAAAGCATATAAAAAATTAACTAAAAATGGGTCACATACCCAAATGTAAAGCCAAAAACTATAAAATATAAGAGAAAACATAAAAGAAAATCTTTGTGACCTTGGGTCAGGCAAAAACTTCTTAGTTACACCACCAAAATATGAATCCATAAAAGAAACATTTGATAAATGAATTTCATCAAACTTAAGAATGTTTGCCCTTTAAAAGACACAGTGAGAATGCAAAGAAAATATCTGCAAATCAGCCCTGGCCAGGTAGCTCAGTTGGTTGGAGCATCGTCCTGATGCACCAGGGTTGTGGGTTCAATGCCCAGTCAGGGCACATACAATGAATGCATAAATAAGGCAAACAACAAATCTCCCTCTCTTAAAAAAAAAAAAAAAATCAATAAAAAACTTAAAAAAAAATACTTTCCTAATCATATATCTGATAAAGTGCTTATATCCAAAATAAAGAAGTCTCAAAACCCAATAAGAAAACTAACATTGAATTTTAAAAAATGATCAGAAAATTTGAATAGGCAATTTACCAAAGATTTACCAATGGCAAATAAGCACATCAAAAGGAAACTCAAATTAAAACCACAATGAGCTACCACTACACACCAGTGAGAATGGCTAAAACGAAGGATTGACCATACCATGTTCTGGTGCCCCTGTGAGGGTGTCAGCGACCAGGAACTCACAGACCACGCTGGGAGGTACAATGGTACCACCACTCTGGCAGTTCCCCAAGAAGTTATAAACACACATCTACCGTGTGACCTAGCCATTCCACTCCTAGGTATTATTTGCCCAAGAAATATGAAAGCATCTATCCGTGCAAAGACGTGTGTAAGTTCACAGCGCTCAGACACTGGAAACGATCCACAAGTCCATCAACACGCAAATGGATAACCAAATTGTGACATGTCCAAGGCAATGTAGTACTATGAAATAAACTTAACTTAGCCATAAAAGGAAGAAATGATCGACACCTGCAACTACATGGGTGAACCTCAAAAAGTCATTCTGCTGAGTGAAAAACACACACACACACACAAAAAGAGTAATACTGTACGATTTCCATTTACATAGAATTCTAGAAAACGCAGTCTAATCCACAGTGAGGGTAAGCAAACCAATGTCTGAGGAGGGAAGAGGAAACCCTTTAAGGGTGATGGATATGTTCATGATCTTGAACGTGATGGTTGCATGGGAGCATGCATATGTCAACGCGCATCAAATTGAACACTTTAAATATGGGCAATTTATTGTAGATCAGTACCTAAACACGGTGTTTTTAAAAAGAAAATCTCTCCGCCGGGGTCACACGGCTGGTAAGTGGCACGGCAGGGTTCGACCGCTGAAGTCAGCCTTTGGAGCCTGCATAGGAGCCCCCAGCTCCTTGTAACAAGGGCACCGAGGAAACCGCTGGAAGGGAGCAGAGGCCGCCGGCGCCGGTCGCAGCCGGCCGCGGTTAATGATTACGGCGGGCCCCTCCCCGCTGCACTCCCCGCCCCGGGGCGGCCCCAGCCCGGCCCCGCCCCACAGCTGCCCTGTGCACCCCGCGCGCTCGCCCTCTCCGCCGCCACCTGCTGCCCGCCCGCGCCCACGTCGCGCCCCGACATGGTGAGGGGGGATCGCGCGCCACCGCGAGTGGGGCAGCCCCCGCAGGAACGGGCGCGCGGTGGGGTCGGAGGGGATGAAGGAGGCCTCAAGGGGCCCCGCCCGAGCAGAACGGGGGAGGGTGGGATGGAAAGGTGGGGGAGGGTTCCTCCGAGCCCCTCTCAGGTTAGCACGCGCCTGGTTCGGGTGAGTCGGGGTCTCCGCCGCGTCCCCACCCCGGGCGGTGCCCCTGAGGAAGCTGAGGCCAGGAGAGGGCGGTGGTAGGTCCAGGTCACAGCCAGGCCTGCCCCTGGCTCCCAGGCCAGTGCCCCCTCCGCACCACGACACTTCGGGCGGGGCTTAGTGACCTCCCAGGGTACAGGTGGGGCGGTGGGACTAGGGCCGGGGGGGGGGGGGGGGGGGCACCGAGAGCCCGCCGTGATCGTCCCCCTTGGTGGCAGCGTTCTGGTCTGCATTGGAGGTGAGGATTGGACGCGCCTAGGAGTGTGGGTGTGAGGAGGGGAGGTTGAATCCGTGGGTTCCGCTGCGTGCCTGTTTACTGCCCTTCTGGCTGGCACTCCTGGGCACGGGGCTGGCTAAGCACTCTGTGCACCCTGTGCTGTCCCTGGCCTCGGGGCCAGCCCCTGGTGCCTGTTTGAGGCTTGCCCAGCTGTGGAAATACGATTGCTCAGGGGCACCTGTCCTCCAGGCTGAGCCCCCCGCCCCCACTTCCCACTGGGCCTGCCCTGCGCTCAGCTGTGCTTCAACACTTCCCCCACTCCCCTCCTCAGCTAGGGACGCAGGGGAGACCTGGAGGCAGCCAGGAGAGGAGCCCCTAAGCCATTTCTGGCCCTGAAGCATTAGGAGCGGTCCAGACTGCAGCGACACCTGGGAGGGCGTGTTGAAGGCTATGCTTAGAGGAAGGGGCAGTGGTGGGTGAGGCTGACTGTGAGGTGCACTGAGGGCCCCCAAGACTCAGGGCATGGGTAATCAATAACCCCTGGGCACACTCTCCCAGAGGCGGGGCCAGGCCTAATTTGGGATTTACTAAGTAAGCACAGCCCCTGTCCCCCTCTGATCCCAGATCTCAGAAGGGCAAGTTCAGTCTCTGGCTGTGCGTCCTGGGGGGTTCCAGGAGACTCTAAAGAGAAAGGGGGACCTCACTAGCACCCACCCCCTCCTTTCAGAGCCAAAGAACTAAACAGTGAGCTCTGATGCCTTGGTGACATCTGGTCATCTGGTTGCCTGGATACGTGGAACAGGCTTATCAGCCACTGAGAGCAGCCAGCTCTGGAACAGAGAAGGGTTGGGTGAGAGATGCAGACCTGTCTGCCTTCTCCAGCCTTCCGGAGCCCAGAAAGGAGCCAGCCACGGCAGGCTGTGCAGAGGGAGCACAAGCCTTGGGAGGGAGAGAAAGATGGACTTGTGGGAGCGCTTTTCCAGTTCCACCCAAACTCACAAGGCCCATCCTAAGCCTGCTTGCCCAAGGAAGTTTCCTTTCAAAAATGCAGGTGACAGCCCTGGCCGGTTTGGCTCAGCGGTTGGAGCATCGGCCTGCAGTCCAGAGAGACCCGGGTTCGGTTCCCGCTAAGGGCACGTACCTCGGTTGCAGTTTGTCCCCGGCCCTGGTTGGTCATGCGGGTGGCAGCCACTCGATGTGTCCCTTTCACATCCATGTTTCTCTCTCTCTCTTCCTCTCTCTCCCTCCCGCTCTATCTGAACAAAAAATGGAAAAATGCCCTCGGGTGAGGATAAAAAAAAAAAAAATGCAGGTGACATTTCTTTAATAACAACAAACTTTACTAAAGTGTCCCACTGACTGTTGCTGATGTGAAGTGGAAATTCTTGTCCCCTTTACCTGCGAAGCCGAGGGAGATGAGCGAGGCAGAACTGGGGCTTGAACTGCTGCCAGCTCGACCCATGGCTTCGTCTGGGGCTGCCTCATAGACGGCATCAACCTCCCTCACACTGCCTCCTCAGACCTTGATTCATTTTTAATTTAGTACTTTAGTTTCCTCCTTTCCTGGTTCCATTTCAGGAGCCTAATCCTGGGGCCCTGTAAGCTCCGAGACCTGGGTCCTCCCAGAGGATAGAACCGACTTGTGCTTCCTCTGTTCTCTGAGAGCTCCCTCATGGCCTGAATTGCGCCAATCTGGGCTGCCCAGAGGGCACTTTGCACAATAGGTAAATATACGGACAGGCACTAGGTTTGCCAATCGCCTCTGGCCATGTTACTTCCAACTTTTAACCAAGCTCTTGCTCGGGCTTCCCAGGCTGGCAGAAAAGGTCGATGTGTCTGGAAGCCCGAGGCCTGGCCGCTGGGAGCCAGAGGCTGCAAGGGAGCATCATGGAGGACGCACCGGGAGGCAGAGCCAGTGCGTGGCCACTGCCCGCAGCTAGGGGCCGCCTGGAATGTGTCTTAGTGCTGGGTCCTTGGCCGGCCCCAGGAGTCCAGAGGCACAGGCCTACTAGGAGAACGATGCCTGTGCTAACTTGGGGAAGTGCAGTGGTATCTCCCCTTTCTAGGCCTCAGTGTCCTCTTTAACGTACCTGACACGAGTAACGGCAGGGGCACGGAGGCAGGGGCATGGAGGCAGACTGCACACGGTCCATAATGGGAAAGGAAGTTTGGGCGGTCAGGGTGCTCTTTGTCTGAAAGGTTGTGTTGTCATACACACACGTCTGGGCTAGGTTTTGTTTTTACTCCCTCATTAGTGTAAGAGACCTCATTTTGGTGGGGGGTGGTGTTTCTTAGTTCAATGTGATTTGCATTACACTTCAGAATTCTCTGTCCTTTTGGGTGCAATGTGAGTCAAAGAACCTATCAGTGCACGCACCAGGGCCCCACCTCCCGAGCAGGGCGCCACCCTGACACCTCCCTGTCCATTGCATTAGACCAGCTGCCCTTTGACTGCGTCACCTGTACCCAGCGTAGCTGGTGGAGGCTGGCTCAGTTCCCCCAAACGTTGGGCCCTCTTCTGTCCTGTACAGAGAAATGCCCTCGGGCCTCTGGTTTTCCCTCTCCTAGGCTGGCAAAGCACACAGGCTAAGTGCCGAGGAGAGGGACCAGCTGCTGCCAAACCTGAGAGCTGTGGGCTGGAACGAGCTGGAAGGCCGAGATGCCATCTTCAAGCAGTTCCATTTCAAAGACTTCAGCAGGGTATGGCACCAGGGTGGGGCAGTCCCGAGACTGGGCTGACGGTGTCACACGTGTCCCCATCCCCAAAGTCTTGTCAACCGAGACTCTCAGACACCACCCTTCTGCAGCTTACTCGGAAAGGGGCATCGTTGGGGACAGGAGGGTGCAGGGCTCTCTGCACCTCGAACTTGGAGAAACAATCCTTAGAGGAGGTAGGAGACAGACGTCCATCTGAAGACACTTTAGACAGACAAAAGATTGGCCAAGACCGAACACCGCTCTGGTGTTTGCACCTAGTTAGTGATCCAAGTAACAAAACTTTATTCCTACTGCAGAGACACCCCCTCGAACTCCAGCCTCTGAACCAGCGGTAAGATGCTGGGGAGCGATGAAAGCTGGAGGGTTCTCCCTATAGGAAGCTTGTCCGTCCTCCTGCATCGAGGTCTCCACTGGCCATAAAGAGTGCCCAGCAGTCTCTCTCAAAACACTAACCTGGGTCTCACTTCACTAAATAGGCGTTTGGCTTCATGACCAGAGTGGCCCTGCAGGCTGAGAAACTGGACCACCACCCTGAATGGTTCAACGTGTACAACAAGGTGAGTGATGTGTGCCTGCTGTGTGTGGCCACGCTCCAGTTCGGAGAACTCCGCCTTGCTCGGAAGGCCCCTTCCTGGGACTTCCCGATGGGCCTCCCCACCCAGGCTGTCCACTCCTCCTGCTCCGCTCATCTCCTTCCTAGAATCAACATAAAAACCCCTGGAAAAGATTCTCACTACAAATTAAAGGAATGCAACTTAAAACACTGAGATAACTTGTGGGTCAAGTAGATATCAAGAAGGTAAAACCCAAGGAAGGAAAGGCTGTAGGAATCAGACATGTTCATTGTTAGGAGCTCTACCGTAAATCTCTGGCTTGAGTCTTTCTGGAGGTATGGAAGCAGGAATAAAACTGAGCCAAGAATAGCCATGTACAGCAAACAGATCAGATTTCTGCTGAATGGACTGAAACCGTCATTAAATCCCTGCCACGTGCCAAGAGCTATCCTGGACTCTTTCTAAAAACATGAAAATGAAAGTGAAAAGACGTGAGCTGTAAATAGACAGCATTTAGTAGGAGTTGGGAGTTGGTTTTTGGACTCGCCTTTGGTTTTTAGGGAACTCTTAGTATGTGGGTATATCATTTTTAAGCTATAGCTGCAGTTACCATTGTTTTTGGAGATGCAATAGAAGATAGTTTTGCATTGTTATAAAAACCTGTCACACCAGGAAGGCAGCCCCAGGGGACATATAGTGCTGGCCACTACAGGCACACCTCGGAGACAGTGGGGGTTCCGAGCCACTGCCTCAGTGAAGTCCTGCACAAATGTTTTGGTTTGGGTGCATATAAAAGTTATATTTAGCCCTGGCCGGTTTGGCTCAGCAGTTAGAGCGTCGGCCTGCGGTCCGGAGAGACCCGGGTTCGGTTCCCGCTAAGGGCACGTACTTCGGTTGCAGTTTGTCCCTGACCCTGGTTGGTCGTGCGGTGGCAGCCACTCGGTGTGTCCCTTTCACATCGATGTTTCTCTCTCTCTATCTCTTCTTCTCTCTCCCTCCCACTCTATCTGTACAAAAAATGGAAAAATGTCCTCGGGTGAGGATAAAAAAAAAAAAAGTTATATTTATATTATATTGTATCTATTGTAGTCTAGTAAGTGTGCAATAGTATTAAGTCTAAAGAAAACAATGTACACACCTTAATTAAAAAAGACTTTATTGCTAAAAAAAAAAAATGCCACCTATCTATCATCTAGGCCTTCAGCAAGTCGTGATCTCTTTGCTAGTGGAGGGTCGTATTTTCATTTTGCAAAAAATGCCGCGTCTGTGCAGCGAGGCGAAACGAGGCACTGCATGCTGGAGCTTAGTGTGGCTGCGCCCGGCCCTGGTGACTCGCCCGCTCTCAGGGGCAGTCCGTGCAATCAGCTGGCCCATCTCTGGTTTTGTTTCAGGTGCACATCACCCTGAGCACCCATGAGTGTGCAGGCCTGTCGGAACGGGACATAAACCTGGCCAGCTTCATCGAACAAGTAGCAGTGTCCATGACCTAGACCCTGCCTTTCCGCTTTGAATCCTCAGGGAAAGGGGCGGCTGAGCTGGAAATCCAGTGAGAGGAAGGGGAGCCCTCCAATGTTACTGCAGTCAAAATTGCCATGTCCACCTGCTGCCTCCATTTAGGGGTGCGTCCTTGCTGTGGAGAGATGTCAGCACCTCTATTAAATGTATACTAATCTGAATAAGATACTCCCATTCTTTCCACCTTCCCAGCAACAGTCATGATTTTCTTTCCAAGCTGTATCTTGCTCCCTTTCTAATTCATTTCCCAAGAAGCTGTGTCTTAAGATAGGCAAAATCTTATCTTAGAAACCAGAACCCTAGTGCCAACCCCCTATGTGAAACACATGTGCTTTTATGCCTCAAATAAAACAGTTTCACTTGGCCTCTGGCTCTAGAATCTTCTCTTCTACAGGTCAATCAAATTGGAGTCAGCAGGCATTTAAAGCACTTGCTGTGTGCAAGGCACTGGGCGAAAAGGGCCCAGACCACCGTGCCTGCCTTCAAGGAGTTCATTATCAACTAGGGGAATTAAACAGGAAAACAGTTAACTGCTACTAGTTACTAGGCAGGATGAATGAAGTCAACACTAGATGCAAAAATAGGAAATGAGCTGAGAACAGGGAGTGATTAACGAGTGAATCTGAATTTCCTTTGAGTTGGGACTCAAAGACCTGAACCAGATCCTAGAGGCAGATGGCTGACGTGTCATGGACAGAGATAAAGGCACTGTGTCCACGCACAGTGAGACCTACGACTAGCAAGGCAGTCTGGGGCCATGTGGTTGGTCAGCAGCCTTAGTGAGACTTCTAATCCTGATGGCTTTTACACTTAGGGATTTAGCCAGCGTCTCAAGGTTTGACTGCTTTTTACTCTGTAAGGATGGCGACAAAAACCACAGGAGATGACAAGCTATTTACCACCTGAGAGTTGAGCTGATTCGCAAATTGGTTCTCCAACCCAGTAACTCCCTAGGACAAAACATTCTCACTGCCGCGCCAGGACTGGGAGAAGGGGCCACCAAGAGCAGGGGCATCTCTACCTGTGTGTCTGCCACGTGGCTATCATTTCGTGTGTGCCATTATGCAAGAGTTCTCACCTATGACACCTAACCTGAGGCTGCCTGGGTACTGAGACAACTTGCAAACGCCAGGGCCACTTGGAGCAGGGACCTAGCAATGTCACAACCCAGTCACCTTGGAAGAGTTGGTCCTGCAACGGGCCAGGGAAGGTCAGTAGGTGAGAAATAAGCATACTGTTGGTGAGAGGGACCAGCAGGACCCCTGCCCAGCCTGTATGCTGGAAGGAGGATCACTACCTGTGTTAACAGCATGTTCTCAGCAAAGCCAACTATCAAGACCAACAAGGTTCAGACAGTGGTGCCCCATGTGCTCCACTCTGACTTACGTTGTTCTAAGTATACTTTAACCTGACGACTGTGGGTTGCAGGCAGAAGCCACTAGACAAGGAGGTATGGACTACGCATTATGTCATCTTCCTGCCTCTGCTTCCTCTCATGGATCAAGGGTTGAAACACGAACTCAGAGGACATGATAGTTGTATGAGGCACTTTTATGTGGGACACAAACACAAGCAACACTTTTTATAAATACATATTTATTCTAAAATTATTCAAACAATTGAACATATAGGGGCTGAAGTTAAAATGATGAAGAAAGCACAAGAAAAACTAAAGCAGTTAAGAGTCCAAACCAAGAAAAGGCTCTCAAACACCTGACTTTTGCTTACCCAGGCAGTAGCTGGTGGCTGTCAAATCAGGCCTCTGCCATTACTCTGTCACTACTGGGTCTAGCTTGAAGTGGCTCACTGCTACCGAGAACCCACAGAGAAGGCAAAGGGGCTCTCAGCTGGAAGGAGCAGGTGTAAGCACCAGACACCATCTCCCAGATGGACCACGTCTCCTATCAAAGCATGTCCTGGCCCCTCTCTCTAGGGTTTACCCCAAAGCAAGCAGGTGCTCAGGAAACAGTCATTTGGCAGAAAACTATAGCAAAGGCCGCATTCCTCAACTTGATTCTGGCAAAGTCTGAGTGGTTTCCTGAATGAGCGCCTTGGGAACCCGAACAACCCTTGGGAAAGACGTCTCACTTCTCAGTCATAACGGAACAAGGCGCTCAGCAGTTGCAGTTGCAAAATTAACATGAGGGTTCTGTCAGCTCCCAAACCAAATACAGGGTTTGAAGCTCAGCGTCCTTTGGTTAGACACAGCTACACTGCCCAGCTGGCTGGAGACTACCCCAGATGGTTCAACCATCACTAAGGTATAAGCAGTAGTGGATGAGGAAGATGACAGACAACATAAGGCAGGGCCCTGGCCCTGGGAAAGGAAAAACCTGAGTTCCAGACCTCCCTGAAAGCGAGTATGACCATCTCTCCTGGTGGAGCCAAGGAAGTGCTGGGAATTGGGCAGGCGTGCTGCCCACCCTCAGGTCTGTTTGCCCTAATATCAGTGGTCACACACACACGTCACCACAAGGGGGCGATCTCTCACCAGCAGCTGGTCAAGAGCTGCCAACATCCCATCTGGGATGACACGTGTGCACCTAAATAAACAAATGAATGCAACCATCCACAATAATTAAGATTTGGGACATTTATTTACTTAATCACTTTTTAAGAGATTATTGCTGCAGTTAGGAAGGGAGCATTGAGATGAGAAGTGGGAGGTTAAAGACAGAAAAGATTTAAAGGAGGCAAGTACCATTTTCCAAGTAAAAAACTGGTAATATTAAAAGTGACATGGCAGTAGAGTCACATGATTTCTAATCAGAAACAAGACAGTACAGTTTTTGCAGAGGCCAATGTGACATCTGCTAACAACATGTTATTGTTAGGACGTCTGCCCTCCTGGGCGTTACTACACACAGAACGGAAAGCCCAAATGTTAAGTCAAACTAAGGCTCGTAAACATAACTTAAAGTGGCTACAGTAAGTCCCTTTGAAAAACAACCTCAAGACCCCCACCCCAGCCCACCCCGGAAGCAATGTTGTCACAGCACAGGGGACGGTCCTGGGGAGACACTGGAAGCAGCTGACAAACCTCAGTGGTGCCTGCTGGGTGGTTGTGGGTCCCTGGACGTCCTTCAACATAATGAATGCACTGGAGACATAAAAGACAATTCATGCAGAGATCCAACCACACCTCCTCTTTCAGGAGGTACCCACCAGTTCAGCAACAACAGGGAACATAGCTCCATGTTTGAAGGACCTCAGCCTCTCCCTGTAACACACACACACATGCACACCAATCACTCTTGGAACCCATGATGGACAGGAGGAAACACACACACACACACACACACACACACACACACACACACACCAGCCCTGCAATGACACGGCCAGTCACAGTTTTGTGCAGGAAGTACAGTGCTAAAGAACATTTCGGACAAACGTGGTCAGGAGCTTGGGGAAATGGTCATGTTGGCTCTCCCAACTGGCACACCCAGGGAGGGGGCGAGAGGATGCCAGCCTGAAGAGGCTGGACCTTCAGGATCCCTGAGAAGGGTAATGGAACAGAGGAGTTTCTCCTGACTTATCCTAAGGATTCCCCTACCCGACTAAAACCTCAAGGACCGATTCCCCATCCCCAGGGCCTAGGTCAGAAGCCATACTGCTCCCGCTGAGGAAAAAGGCACACATACAATATGTTGTCATTAGGGCAGGACAGTGGCTCGGCCTAGATCCAGGCTCCATGCAGAGCAGAAAAAGGTAGAAAGTGGGCACAGGGTTTGGTCCTATCCCTGCATCATCCCGAGCATCTAGTCTTAGGAAGAAATCCCAGGCCCTAGGCTACAACTGACACCATCATGTTTTCCTATTCCAAAGTATTTACCTCACCCTAGCCAGGGCTGAGAAGTGTCCAGTCCCCGAGGCTAAACTGCCGTAGTACCTTTGGGAGCTGAATAAAATAGACTGAGGCTGGAAGAACACACCAATGGAGAGAAATTCTTCCTTGCCTTGGGGGCCCTCCCATGCCCTTCCTGCCCCACAGGGTAAATCAAGGCAACTTGTGAAGGTGCTCTGAGCTGTTCCTTCTAGCAAACATGTTCTCATACATACGGGATGGCGTAAAGCAGTGGGGAAGGGGAGGACCACCATGAACTTTGGTGACATACATTTGAATTTGGGTGCTCATCCTACCCTGATACTCAGGAAAGCATAGAAAAGTGTCCGGTTTCTGATCATCTCCAGCCCAGGAGAGGGCTCAGGTGTGCTCTGAAAACTGCCAATTCAGAGGATCAGCATTAAGGCCAGAAAGCCCTAGATTCTCTGGGAATTACATTCTCTTCCTAGTTCAAGAACAAACCAGTGGGAGCATAGTTTAAAATAACAATTCCCAAAGATGGTGGAAACCAAGCATCAAATGGAGACTACACATCAGAAGAGGACAATGTACCACTCGCTACTCCGCCTTGTAGACTGGCCACACCAACCCTGCATGACAACAACGGCCTGGTCAACCTGTGCCCTGGAAAAACAAGTTGCAGTGAAAGTAACTCTGAGAGAGACAACTAACCTACTCAACGAGTAGGGCTGAAAAGCCTACTGCTTAGTCACCTAACACCCACCCGGGAAACTTCTGTTACATGTGCTTCCTATTTGACTAAGTCAATTGGCCTGAGATGACGAAGAAAACCTTCTTCTATCTCATGAACTGTACCCCAGCTTGCCTGAGGGATCAGGACAGGTCAGAGCTGCCACACAATGATTACGTGAACGTGAAAGCTAGAGAGGTTAGAGAAGGAAATAGTTAAAACAATTCCTAGTGCAATATTTAGAGCAGGGGCAAAGGAATTACATAATGGAATCCTCTGGGGTCTTCACATCAGAACCCGCAGAAGGACGATTAGAGGAGGACGCGAATCCTGAGGACCAGCAGTCGTGTGGTCTGTCTCGTCTGCTCTGTGGGCAGGACCGGATGTTGAGCTGTGTGGCCTGTCCACACCTGAGAACCCCCTGAAGGCCAGCAGCCCCCCAGGCTCAGCGGGGCTTTGGAGAGCCATTCATCTGGCTGCCCTGAGTTACAGTGTCTGTGCTGAAAAGGCTGTCCAAGAAGACCGAGGACAGCTCTGCCACTTGGTTCCTGTCGACAGCGGTCTGGGCCATGCCGTAGATCGCACCCTACAATCCAGTCAGAGAAGGGTCGTTAGCAAGGAGGTCCAGGAACAGTTGTCGTCCCCCGTCCCTGCCTTCCAGGTGCCCTCCTCGCCCCTACTCCATCCCCACACCAGGCTCCATTCTATCAGAAGGAGCCGCATGGTCAATTTTTCTCAGGTACTTGCCAGTCATCTGCCTTTTTGCCCAAAGGAACTATCCTGTGAGATTTTCTATAGAAAATTGCAGAGAAAATTGGTTTATTGCCTTTCCTGTGTCAAATTTTTCTTTGCAAATGATTCTACCACCATCTGCCTTTGTATATAGCACTATGAAATTTACAAGGTGCTTTATATACAGTATGTCTCACTGGAGATTAAAAAACTCTGGGAATGGAAGAGGCAGAGATCATCAGCTACAATGAAATAAGGAAACAGGTTCATAGATAAAGGGCAGAGGCTGCAACAGACTCGAGGTCATTTGATTCTTTCAACCCTCTTACCCCCAACACCTAAATTTCCACAGAGAAGGAAAAAAAAACACCAAGTGCCCCTACCATTCCTGTGGTCTTGGCTTTAGGATTCTTCATGATTTGAGTGACAGATTCTCGGATGTCCTTTAGAAACTGTATGGCTACTCGCTTCCGAGTGTGTACTAAGGTAATGCAGAAATGAATACTAAAGGAGAAGAAAGAGACAAAGAGAGATGAACTTTTGAAAGTTTTTAAAAAGTTCTAAAATAAAGCAGCCCCAAACGCAGGAATTCATTGGTTGCTCCTTTATGTTACTTGTTCCCAGGCCTGGGAATCAGGGCTCGCGAATACATGGGTTGCCATGGCTGGGGTCTTGAGGGATGTTAGGGCAAAGAATCATCTTTAACTGCCCTGGAAGGAGACTGGGGTACAGAGGGACTGTGAAGAGGAAAAAGCAGAGTACAAATGAGATTGGCAATGGTGCTAACACGTGGAAGGGTCAGAAGTACATGGAGGACAAAGAAGAGACCTATTCTGTTGGGGTGGGGTGTTTATTCAAAGGAATGACGGACGACTAGGTTAGAAACGCATATGAAAGACAGTAGCAGGCCTAAATGATTAGAAGCCCCCTGGAAGGTTTTGAGTTAAATATTACTCAGGTAATGAGTCCGTTTTTAAGAGCAATCTGATGACTGTTTACAAGACAAATCTGAGAACAGAGAAAGAGAGTGGGGGTGGGGATCTTATGACTGACCCTTGATCTCAAGAGGCTGCCACCTAATTTTGCCAGAGTTTAAAGATAATGGTCTTATTTTGATATTGAATAACTTCAAGTGGCAAGACAGAAATCCTAGATACTACAGCTGCCAATAGTGCTGGGTTCTTGCTGTCAATCTCTATACTTCAGGTCAGCTTGCTACCCAAGTTCTTAAAAAGTCATACAGCAAAGAAAAGGAAAGAGGCTTCTTCAAGTTTACCTGGATGGGAACTGCAGCTGGTTCAAGTTCCACCCCTTAGCATTCATCAGGTTAAATAGTCGGTAGATGTCAAAATCATGGGAGCCCAGGGCAATGACTGACAACTGAGGGTCCCCAAAAACAAAGATGCCTTTGATGTTTTCCAGTCTTAAAACAAACAAGAAAAGGTACAAAAAGAAAATTCAGCCACATCCGGCCCTCTGGTCATCATCTCTTTAATCACCCAAGCCTCCCTTTTGATCTAAGCTAACCTTTGAGCGTTAGTTTTCTCATCTTGTAAAATAAGGTATCTAGACTGAGATCAGTGATTCCTAAACATTATAAATATTTAAAGGCTTAAACCCCATCTAAATCCAATAAATCAGAATCACTGGCTCCTAACCTATCTGCCCAACTCCCAAATTATGATAGCACTCCCAGTGACATCTGAGGCATAAAAGATACACTTTAAAAAAATCCTGGAAAGTCCGGCCGGTGTGGCTCAGTGGTTGAGTGTCGACCCATGTACCAAGAGGTTGATGGTTCAATTCCCAGTCAGGACACATGCCCAGGGTGTGGGCCCGATCCCTAGTGGGGGGCATGCAGAAGGTGGCCAATCAATGTTCTCTCTCATTGATGTTTCTATCTCTCTCTCACTTCCTCTCTCTCTAAAATCAGTAAAGGAGAAAAAAAAAATTTTAATCCTGGAAAGTAATCCCTCCACCCCCCAATTTAAAAGTCATGTATGTAATCCCTAAATCAAGAAACAGTATGGCAGTTATCAACAGACGGGCATATCAGAACCATATGTGGGCCTTTTTCAAATAAGACAGGTCCACTGGCCACTTTCACTCACCCTCGAGACTCTGAAAAAGCCTCCCCAACCCTGGTGACACACAGAGAGACAGGCAGGCAACATGTGAACAGATATGCTCAACAAAGCACAGCTTAATTATAGTCTTAGTTTAACCCAAGATTTCATCATTGCCCCCTGTCCACCCCACCCAATTCCTTCTCCATTTATTTTCTTATTCCAGTGATTCTTCAAGTGTGATTCCTAGATCAGCAGCATCAGTAACCACTGGGAACTTCCGAGTCATGAAAATCCTCAGATCCCTATTCCAGCTTTATCGAATCAGGATTCCAGGAGCAGGGCCCAGCCACCTGCATTTTAACAAGCCCTCTATGTGATTAGGATGCACACTCAAATTTCAAAACCACTGTCTTGTCTTAACCATTAAAAAACTGTCATCCGGCCGGTGTGGCTCAGTGGCTGAGTGTCAACCCATGCACCAAAAGGTCGCCAGTTCGATTCCCAGTCAGGACACATGCTCAGGTTGTGGGCCTGATCCCCAGTGGAGGGCATGCAGGAGGCAGCCAATCAATGTTCTCTCTCATTGATGTTTCTCTCTCTCTCCCCTTCTCACTTCCTCTCTCTCTAAAAAGGAAAAATAAAAATTACAAAAAAAAAAAAGAACTGTCCTTCAGCACTTGGTAAGAGCTGCCAGTTGTTAAGACACATCCTTGGAAAGATGGCCTACAGATGACGCCCTGATCTGACACTCCAAGTCAGAGCAGAGCAAGGGAACTTATCCTCCCAGGTGAGCACCACACTCCTAAGCTGCTGTCCTAAACCCCTGGTCCCTCAGGAGACAGCAAATGGCTGGGGCTATAGGTGCCTGGCCAAGCAGATGCCTTGAGCCCAGTAGCAAACAAAGCAAGAGACAAGGCAGAATCCCGATCTTCCACACATACTCTGACTTGAGGAAGCGAGCGGTTTTGATGATCTGTTTGGTAGCTTCAACATAGCCGCTCTCACCGAAGTGCATCAAGGTAGCCCAGCAGGCTGCACTAATGCCCCCAGGCCGTGAGCCCGCCATGGTTGGGGAGGCATAGATGCCACCCTGCCAATCTGGATCAAGGAAGAACTGATAGCTTCTGTACTTCTTGTCACTGTATAACACCAGTGAAGAGCCTTTGGGAGCGTAGCCATACTGAGGGGGGGAGAAGCAAACATGTGAATGTATAGTGCTACACGGCAGACCTGTCCCGACACCGATCATGCAAATTTCTCCATCATATTCTCTATGATGCTTCTCGAGCACATTAAATACTCAAACTTACAGTGTTAAAGGGTAGAGGGAACTGAACAGATGGATTTGAAATGCTCTGTGTTGGGTAAGGAATCTGAGGCCCAAGAGGAACAGTGTTTTGTCCTGCTAGTCAGTTTACTTCCCCTCTGTTGCCTAGCACATGGTTTTTCTTATTTAAAACATTATTCTAGGGCAGTATTTCAGGATGAAAGCAAAGATAAATTTCCACTGGAAGTGAGGAATCCAAGTCATTTGGAGCAACTACAGTCATGACCTGACTCCCTTCTCATCCTTGTCTGCTTGGTGATAACTTCCTAAGACCATCATGGTGCGCAGACTCTAGAAGCTGTTTAATCCAGCTTTGCAATAAACTTATCTAGACTTTGTCTCAGCCCACAAGGGGTGGCAGGTATGTACATTTCAAACATTACAAGCCAGACATTCCTGAGCACATTAAGTTCTTCCCTTTTTCCAAGGACTCTTCCATCAGCGTCCTCCTGTCACACAGGCGCGGGAGCCCCAGCCTAATGGGAGCGGGGGCTTTTCCATATCTCCTCTCAGGAGTTCCAGAATCAACCTCACCTCCACCCCAACCCAAATAATCCCAAGGCTTCAGGGGACTCTTCTCTAAGAGCGCTACACTAACATCCCAGTCAGAGAAATTCTCTCAGCCCTAAGACACAAAGATAACAGGCTCTTCTTCACTACTGCTCTTCACCTCTATCACTGTATACACCTTGTCACCTCTACCGCTGCACCCTGTCACCTCTATCGCTGCACCATCACCTCTATCGCTGCACCCTGTCACCTCTACCGCTACACTGTCACCTGTACCACTGCACCCTGTCACCTCCATCACTGCACCTTGTCACCTCTACCACTGCACCTTGTCACCTCCACCCCTGCATCCTGTCACCTCCACTGCTGCACCTTGTCACTTCTACCACTGCACCTTGTCACCTCTACCACTGCACCTTGTCACTTCTACCACTGCACCCTGTCACTTCTACCACTGCACCTTGTCACCTCTACCACTGCACCTTGTCACTTCTACCACTGTACCTTGTCACCTCTATCACTATACCTTGTCACCTCTACCGCTGCACCATTACCTCTACCATTGTACCGTGTCATCTGTCACTATACCCTGTCACCTCTACCATTGTACCTTGTCACCTCTATCGCTATACCCTGTCACCTCTACCGTTGTACCTTGTCACCTCTATCGCTATACCCTGTCACCTCTACTGCTGCACCCTGTCACCTCTACCACTATACCCTGTCACCTCTACCGTTGTATCTTGTCACCTCTATCGCTATACCCTGTCACCTCTACTGCTGCACCCTGTCACCTCTACCACTATACCCTGTCACCTCTACTGCTGCACCCTGTCACCTCTACCACTATACCCTGTCACCTCTACCGTTGTACCTTGTCACCTCTACCACTGCACCATTACCTCTACCATTGTACCGTGTCATGTCACTATACCCTGTCACCTCTACCGTTGTACCCTGTCACCTCTACCGTTGTACCTTGTCACCTCTATCGCTATACCCTGTCACCTCTACCATTGTACCTTGTCACCTCTATCACTATACCCTGTCACCTCTACCGTTGTACCCTGTCACCTCTACCGTTGTACCTTGTCACCTCTATCGCTATACCCTGTCACCTCTACCATTGTACCTTGTCACCTCTATCACTATACCCTGTCACCTCTACCGTTATATCCTGTCACCTCTACTGCTGCACCCTGTCACCTCTACCACTATACCCTGTCACCTCTACCGCTACACTGTCACCTCCACCCCTGCATCCTGTCACCTCCACTGCTGCACCTTGTCACTTCTACCACTGCACCTTGTCACCTCTACCACTGCACCTTGTCACCTCTATCACTGCACCCTGTCACCTCCACCCCTGCATCCTGTCACCTCCACTGCTGCACCTTGTCACTTCTACCACTGCACCTTGTCACCTCTATCACTATACCTTGTCACCTCTACCGCTGCACCATTACCTCTACCATTGTACCGTGTCATCTGTCACTATACCCTGTCACCTCTACCGTTGTACCTTGTCACCTCTATCACTATACCCTGTCACCTCTACTGCTGCACCCTGTCACCTCTACCACTATACCCTGTCACCTCTACTGCTGCACCCTGTCACCTCTACCACTATACCCTGTCACCTCTACCGTTGTACCTTGTCACCTCTACCACTATACCCTGTCACCTCTACTGCTGCACCCTGTCACCTCTACCACTATACCCTGTCACCTCTACTGTTGTACCTTGTCACTTCTATCATACCTTGTCACCTCTATCGCTATACCCTGTCACCACTATCACTGTACCTTGTCACCTCTACCATTGTATCTTGTTACCTGAAGCTGCTGCCCTGGTAAAGCAAAGAGCCAGATTTAATTTTACATTTTGGAGGAAAGCTAATGCTTTAACCAATTTATTTTGTTGATGATACTCAAAATAATCAACTTCCTACTCTGATTAACATTTGGTCCCTTCCCTAGCTCACCTTATGGGTATCCGCTGAAATGCTGGTCACACCTTTCACCCGGAAATCAAATGGTTGATCCAGTGGGTATCCTGCTTTCTCCATAAAGACAATGAGGAAGCCCCCCAGACAAGCGTCTACATGAAGAGGTATTTTGTATTTGACAGCCAGCTAATTTCAAAAAACAAAGACCATAAGAACATTTCATTTATAGCCCTATAACAGAAACTCTGCAAGACATGGGTAGAAAGTGGGCTGTAACCACAAGGCCATTATGTGCTGTATCTCCCATGTTTTAAAAAACTGGCTATTTTTGACATTCCTAATTAAAAAACCCATCTTTCAAAAGTATTTAGCCTTCAAAATAATTCATCTGAAATGTGGCATTTATTTTATATTTAAATATACAGGGCCTCAAACTCATTGCAAAATCATGCGGAAAATGAGTAGCACTCTGATTCAGGTTGCCTCTGCAGCGGGTCAAAGGTCCTGCTCAGTAACTGCCCCACAGGGAAGGAGGGCGGGGGTGCTATGGAGCAGCATGTTGAATACCACCCTCTGGGAGGCATGCTCCTAAACGCCGATTATTTCCTGATATGAACTGAGATGTCAGTCCTACTTCCAAATATCCAATTTAAACAAAATCTTCGTCCTTCTGTTATCCCTCCCCCACAGCAGAAGCTGGTAACGTGCAGAGGCTCCAAACAGAGCGGCAGGGCTTAGCACAGAGCTGATGAGAGCTATTCACTACCGTGCTGAAACCTAACCTCAAAATCACTTCTACTTGGCAAGTACCATGAGATTCTATTTGAAAATCTCAGTTTCACTGTCTAGTAATCCATTTTTCTCACATACCTTGGCCACTTCAGGGACAGGATCTATTACACCGTGAGGAAACTGTGGGGTAGAACAGACAAGCATGGCAGTATTCCTGGAGATGGCTCTTCTCATTGCCTAGGAGTTAACGTGAAAGGAAAATGAGCGTCCATGTCTCAGTTACTCTCCTATTCTGCTGCCAAGATTAATCTAGGCTATGCACTTAGAGTTCTGTTAGTGCCCCCTCCTTCACTTCTCCAACCTGGGAGAAGCCCACTGCCCACCATGGTAGAGAATACAAACAAGGCCAGATCGGTCCATTTGGGGAAAAGAGTCTGAAATGAGAGTGCATACAAAAACACTGTGAGGGTCGAAAGAATACTGGACTAAGAGGCGAAAGAGCCACCTACTAGCAGTGAAACCTGGTGTAAACTACTTCACTTCACCTAGTCTTTTTTCTCATCTGTGAGCTGCAATAATACTAACAGCTACTACAACCTCCTGGTCTGTCATAGGCTCCAATGCAATTCCGATAGCACTGGGAAAACTGGAAAGTTCTATACAAATTCAAGGCATGAAATTAATTACGAAAGGACTATTATTCAGCCTTAAAAAGAAAGAAATCCTGCCATTTGTGACCACATGGATGAACCTAGAGGACATTATGTTAACTTAAATAAGCCAGGGACAGAAAGACAAATACTGAATGATCTCACTTATATGTGGAATCTAAAAAAGTTGAACTTGCAGAAGCAGAGAGTAGAACGGTGGTTGCCAGGAGTTGGGGGTGGGGGAATGGGGAGATGTTGGTCAAGGGGTACCAAATTTCAGTTACACAAGATAAGTTCTAGAGATATAATGTACTGCCATGTGACTACTTGACAAGTTATGTTAATACTGCACTGTATACTTGAATCTGCTTAGAGATCTAAAGGGTAGTCTTAAGTAGTCTAACCATGAAAAAGAAAATGTTAACTATGTGAGGTGATGAAAAAGCTTCATTGTGTTGATTACTTCACAATGTACACTTATAGCAAAACATTAAGTTGTACATCTTAAATATATACAATGTTTAATTTGTCAATTAACTGTCCATTAATGCCTCAATAAAGATGATGGGGGAATAATGCTAGTGCTAATAAATTGGAATAGGTTACTTATGAAAAAAAATCATTATTTTATAATGGCAGTAGTATAAAATTCAGGCCAATCAAAACCACAATGACACCCTGGCAAGTTGGCTCTGCTGTTTGGAATGTCATCCTGTACACCAAAAGGCTGTGGGTTCAATTCCCAGTCATGGCACATACCCAGTTTGGGGGTTCGATCCCCAGCACATACAGGAGGCAACTAATTGATGTTTCTCTCTCACATCGATGTCTCTCTCTCTAAAATCAATAAAAACATATCCTCAGGTGAGGATTTAAAAAAGTTTATGTGTATATATATATATATATATAAAAAATTATGTGTGTGTATGTATAAAAAACCACTGGAGAACCTCGGGGCAAGTTAGACCACGCTTATTTTACAAACAGGGAAGGGACAGTGACAGTGCTGAAACAAACGCCGGGTCTCTGAAGCTGGGGACTAGATTCACCTTCCCATCTGAACCAAAGAATCTGTGAAAAGACTGAAGCTGCAATCAATCAGCAGTGCCAGTGGAAGTTTTTGCAACTCTGGCTGCTACAATCAAAGGCATTCTGAGCCTATCTGCGTGTGACACTGGAAAAAAACAGTCAATCTGGTACACTTCCTGCTTCTCACAGCCCAAGGCAGACAATGGCCCTTCAGAGGAACTCACCCGGACATCCACCTCCATCATTTTGTTCAGTGGAACCCGTACAATCTTCATCCCAAAATAGTGGGCTGCTTTGTCAAATGCAGCATGGGCACTTTGGGGGGCCACACTAAATGACAGGGAAGAAGAGAACAATGAAATTCAGATCAAAAGGAGGTTCAAGAGAGCAGTCAGCAGCTGATCTAAACCACCAGGAGTGAACTTCTGATTTCTTTTCCTCAAAATTTTAGAGTGTTTATATTTACTTTTCAAGCACAAAAAAGAGCTATTCTAAAGAACCTTCTCCCTACTATTTAGGAAATCATTTGGCAACAGAAAGAACTTGGAAGTAATCCCACATCAAAGGATCTAAAGCATACATTAGGGCTGATGGGTAAAAGGACAGGGAATTTGGATCAAAGTGGAGCCATCTTGTGGCTGCTATCCAAAGACAGGCACATCAGTGGAGAGCAAGCTTCCGGACACGGTACATGATCAAGCAGAAAACGTGATTGCGTGGCGGGGATGTTAAAGCAGCAGTCAAGCATCAGAACAAATGATCCTATAAGGAACTAGAATCCCCATTTGCACTGCACACTTGGAAGCAGCATTTCAAATAGTATTGAAAAAGGAAACTGAGTCATAGTTAAGTATCTGCTTTCAGACTTCCCTTAATCGCTTCCCTCTTACAATTAACATGTCCCCTTTAAGGGAGAAAAATCTCTATTACTAACTAAGTACCAAGCACCGAAGATTTATGTTTGAAGAAAGATGGCAGCCTGATTTATTCTCTTAGGCTAAGTATGAATTATAGCTTCAGATCATGTGAAACAAAACTCTTTGTCACTGACACTTGTGGGAAAGACATTAACCCAAACAATGTAGTATAGACACACAGTATAAGGAGAGGGTCTAGAGAGAAAAAAAAAATGCAACCAAACATCAAAACTATGTCCATGGAGTGGCAACATGGGTAAATCTCAAAAGGATTAAAACATTTTTCATCCCAGAAAACTACCCTCAGGTGGAAATTTTCTTAGGGAGGACCCCAGACAGCCTGATACATAACTAACTTTCACTGAACTAAGAAAGATAAACGAAGAGCTTTCCTTAGGCTCCAGATAATTTGTAATAAAGATCACAGAATTCACATATGTAGTCCTGTCACTCTGTCACTTTCAGAAAAAGGATCTCATTCTTGCTTGCAAGATATATACCATGTACAAACCAGAGGTGGGGGTGGGGAGGGGGGAATAATTTTGAACATTAACTGGCTGATCCACTCGGGATTTTGGTGAATGTGGAGGGATAAGAGCCAAGGATACAGGACAGGAAGAAAGAGGACCAGAACTGCCAGAGGAAAAGAGCAGAAACAGGGTGTTTCATATAGCAGTATTCCAAACAGACAAACCTAAGCAAGAGGGCAGGCAAAAGATACAACCACACATACGTACATTTCTGGATTTTTGATCCCATTCTCTAAGGCCAGGTCCCGATAAGCCTTGCAGGCCATCAGTATGCTTTCTGTCCCCCCAGAGGTCACCTGTAAAAAAAAAAGATGTCATCTGTGCAGGGAAGTTAGGGATAGTTAGCAGCATGCACTTCTTACTGGTGCCCTGATCTTAGTGGTGGCTGATACAGAAAGAGATAAGGTCTTGCATGCTGCAGGGCAGACACAGCTATGTCTTCCAGAAGGAAAACTTGGCTTTGTTGGCTAAGCCCAAACTTGGTTGAGGAGAAAAGTAAAAACACTAGATAAGAGTGAGCAGAAGCTCCACATTGTCTGGACAAATGTACACCTGCCCGTATGTGTGCATAGCCCCTGTCCACATTAACTACCCCAACTGCAGACAGAAAAGGGAATTTCACACCATTCAAAAGCATCAGGAATACTGATTTTGACTTAAATTTTCAGTGCCCACTGAAGAATGTGAAACTCATTAGAAGACCAAGAAGAGATATTCAGGCATTTCAATGTGAATTTATGGTTTTTGACAAGTTTGAAAGAGAAAAGCAGAATCCTCTACCGAGAGTATATTTTACCTGAAATCAAAATAAAAATCCTAATGTTTTTAAGTGAAATAAAATGTTTTCCTGAAGCTAGGTCTAGTAACTCTGATACAGGCAAATTTCTTTACCAAAGTTGAAACAAAAAGACTCAGAGGTCATTTCATTCATCCTAGTGTCCTCAGTAGACTATAAACTCATAAAGGTGGGGACCAGTTTGTTCATGACAATAACCCTAGCACCAACCCTCATAGCAGACACCTAACAGACCCTCAATTAACATTTATTAATGCCTGATTTGACTCTCAGTAAACCATGACTACTATAGGCATGTCATACCCACCTGGCTACCTTTTGATAACATCTAAGAATGAATAATTTTAAAACAAACAGAAAAAGAAAAGCCATAGCACTGAGTCAAGTGAGTATTTTTTTGGATTTACCATTTCCAAAGACTTAGACAATCTTATATAGCTTTTTCATTATACAGATGAGAAAACTGAGCTGCTAAGAGACTAAAGAGATTTGCCCAATGTCATCCAATAGCATCTGTTGATCAGACGTAAAACTTTCTACGTTTTTGTATTTAGTATGCCTTAATATGAGATGGAATGAGAGGGTGATGACTGAAATTTCCTAAAATAATATCCACACATAGGACAAAAAAAAAGCATTGGATACAAAATCCCAGTAGTCGGGAGTTATATGGAAGATTAGCTGAAAGAAGTTAGTCATTTTTTAGACTCAGGAAGTCTTCGTGAAACATGTGACCATTACCCACAAAGGAATGTAATGAACTTGTGCAAAGGACACTTGTTTGCTCTGCAAATCAGTAGCATGTCTTGTAGTCTAGCATAAAATCTCAGAATGTTACATGAGAAGTCAAACCAGTTGTGAAGAAAGTCAGGAAAGAACCAGCAAAATCAGTCTCCAGGGAGTCCACCTCTTGCTAAGGTTGAGTAATGACATCAGCAAAAATATTTCCAAACCCCTAGTTACTCACTTCACAGGTCCTATTTTGAGTCCAATCATTAGTTACATCAACATCAATATTTGGTAAGCAAACATCATTTTATTTTTTTACTGTAAAAGCAAGGATACCTCAATTCTACTTCTAACTCTTATTTCTGATCTCCAAATTCTGTGTTTAAATATGCTGCTGGTCCCCCATGTCCCTCCTCTTCCTGCCCCGAAAAGGAAAAGGAAAATTTAGTTGTGAAGTAAGAAGGCAGAGGACTTAATAACTATTATTACGTTAGTCAACTTCTTCTAACATTTATAAAAACTCTCACTCTAATATACAAAATGTAGGTCAGAAAACAAGAGTAAAACATGAACTTTTCAGAATATTTTCTTTTAGGTTATGTTTGGTCCTAATGGCATTTGCATAACCCAAGACCAGTTTCCTTGGCAACCTAATTTGTTTTGGTATATAGTCACCTCTCATCCATTCTGAGTTATGTAGTTAATCAAATGTAGTTAAAGAGAAAAACTGTTGAAGGCTGAAAAAAAAAGAACGAGAAGTTTAATACCTTACATGGGAATAGTCTAAAAACAGCCCAACCTTTAAGCTTTGTCTTCATGTTTCCCACCTCTGAACTTGGAACTTTCTTCACCAAAAGCAGTTCAAGAGGGAGAGACAAAGAGGCCCTGGCTGGGTTGGCTCAGCGGTTAGAGTGTCGGCCCACGGTCCAGAGAGACCCGGGTTCAGTTCCCGCTAAGGGCACGTGCCTCGGTTGCAGTTTGTCCCCGGCCCGGTTGGGGTTGTGTAGGAGGCAGCCACTCGATGTGTTCCTTTCATGTCAATGTTTCTCTCTCTCTCTCTCTCTCTCTCTTTCCCTCTCACTCTGTCTGAGCAAAAATGGAAAAATGTCCTCGGGTGAGGATAAAAAAAAAAAGAGAAAGATATACAGAGATAGAGCCAGAACTGGGGTGAACTCAAATAATCCGAGATAATCAGTTATCTTATCAAGGTCTAAGTGTTAGAAGAGACTGGGGATCTTAAACTCCATCCTTCTCCTGAGCCCTGACACACCCACTAAAAAAGACCATAATGGGAGAGACATGGTTAATTGTACCTACACAAAATCCAAATCCAAAATACCCTAGCACTGGACTTCTGGATTAGGATGGAAGACTAAAACTACTTCAAATTTTCTTTTTCCCAACCTGTAAGAATAACGAAGAAAGGCAGTAAAAACATGCAATAACAACCAAACAAGGAAAGAGAGATAATCTGATGCAATAAACTTCAAACACTGGCAATGAAAACAAGAAACAAGTTTCCAGTCCATCCATAGCAGAGAGCAAAACACCGTTCCTGATCTCTCTTTTAAACACTGGAAACTATCCAGAGGAGTGAGCAAAATCCTGAGAATTCTCATTAACACCCCCAAATCTTCAGAGAAGCAAATGGGGATGGGGGAGTTTCCTTATCTTCTCTCCTGATCTTCATTTCAGAGCGGTGGACATGGCAGCTAGGGAGAAACAAGCAAAATGGGAAGAGAATACCTGGACTGACTCTTTAAAGTGAAGACTGCAGGAATACAGGATGGGTTAAGAAATCATCAAAGCCCAAAGGGTATTATTCTCTTCCAACTAGGCAGAGTGAATTCTGATAACTTTTAACAAATTCTCAGAAGATGAAACCTAGACATATTCAAATACAGGTGAAACAAAGCTTTAGCTGAGCCCTGCCTCAACCAAATACTCTCAGACAAGAAATCAGCCACTATGCATCAGATCAAATAGAAAGTCTAGAGAGAGCCACCTAAGCATGAGCCAAGATAAAAAAAAAAAAAATGGCATGGTAATGATACAAATATATACAAAGAAAAAAGTAGTATGCAAAAATAAAAGCCCAACTCCAAAGTTAACCACCTAAGGAACAGAAGTGAACTCCTTATAACTGTTTCGCATTATAGAACAATATCATAAGAACATGAATTCAAGAAAAGAAGAGTTGAAAGGCTGAACACTGAAACAACAAAATGAGACTGCAGACCTTAAAAAAAACAAAGTACCAAAGAACACCAATACAGAATTAACAAACACATAGAAACATCAAGGAACAGAATAAACTAAGAACAAAAAGACTGACTTAGAGGAAAGGTTTAAGATAAGTTTAGTGAACCCAGACAAATAAGACCGAGACTGAAAAATCAACATCACTCCACACACGGAGAACTTTGTCCATCTGGCTAGTTCTAGATAACCAAAAAGTGTTCAGAGAATGACAGGGATAGGTGGCAATATGTTTGGAAATCATTCTCTAAGCAACAGTTGAGCAACCTAAGAAAAACATAGGGAAGAGACTCGGGGGTAAAGAGGCGTTCAAGTATACAAAAGTCTCTCAAATGGAGAACAAAACAATTACGGAACTTCTATTTCCAGCAAGACAGATTACATACCTTGGGCAACCCTCCTACCTGAAACAACTAAAAAGTCTGATAAAACATTACTTTTTTTACATCCACCAATGAGCTAACATAAAAGAATATACTGAAACGTAAACAAAGCAAAATTAGGAATCCTATAAGACAAATGCGTTCCAAAGCCAGTTTTAACTCTGAGGGTGGCTGCCAATCCCTAGAGACCTTAACTCCCACTCCGACTCATGAACAGGAGATAAGTTTAGGGCCTCCCAAAGTAAGGAGGCTAATGGGAGATGGCTGAAAAAAAAAAAATGGAATTGCTCCCACAGCCTGAGGGGTACAAGAAATGAATCCCACTGGTATAGAAGAGGACATCAAGAAAAACTGCTTTTCTAGATCCTGTTGCTCAAGTAAAGAAAAATAAGGATCTCTAAAGAATGTATGACAAGACAGCTTTTATGTGAATTTGTGGTCTGAATTCACACTACCTCTGTAGTGCAAAACTACAAGCTAAGAATTGGACTAAAATTGGTTCCAATGTGGTGGTACTTCCCAGCAACTGGCAGAAATAATTACAAACCTTTTCTGGAGGAACTTAACTTCAATCTAGGCCTCAAAGTTAAGTTCCCAGGAAAATGAGTGGTTTACAGTAAAAAAAAAAACAATCAAAACTATAAGGATATAAGACAACATGAGTGAAACCAGAAGAAACAGAAAGATAGTCTCATGAATGATGGAAATGTCAGAAGAGAATATAAAATAATTATGTATAATATATTTAAAAAAACTATAAGCCAAGGGAAAATAAACAACCAGGCAGAAAATTAAAAGAAAAAAAAAGAAGAGCCCGTTGGAGTGGCTCAGTTGGTTGAGCGTGGTCCTGTGCACTGAAGGGTTGACTAGTTCAATTCTGGTCTTGGCACATACCTGGGTTGTAGGTTCAATCTCCCGTCAGGGCAAGTATAGAAGGCAACCAATCCATGTTTCTCTCTCGCATCAATGATTTTTTTCTCTCTTTCACCCCTTTCCTCTCTCCCTCAACATGTCCTCGGGTGATGATTAATAAAAATAAATAAATAAATAGAATTCTCAAGAATAAAAAACAGTAAACAAAATTTGAAAACCCAATGGAAGATTAAAGTGTAGATTAGACACAACTAACAAGGGAATTAATAAAACCCCTGCAGTGATCACGCAGCTCCAACAATTATCAGCTCACAGCCAGTCATGTTTACTACTGAGAATATCAGTTGTTCTAATAGTTACATCTTTACCAGTGGGGTTTTTTTTCTGGTTTTAAACCCCGTTTTAACCCTTCTCACTCTACCCTTCATGTTTCTTAACTTCTCTTTGTACTTTCTATTTATTTGTCTCTCTGGATTTTTTTCTGGTTAATTTTTTAAAATCTGTCTTGTTCCATAAATTTGGCTTAGAAACCATGTAAATACTTTACATAGTTATAAATGAACCAGGGTTTCTTGGACAAATGGCTGACTCTGGGTCTGGAGCAGAAATGTACAAGATGAACATGGAATAATAAAAATATTTTGTCAAAAAAAAAAAAAAAAAAAAAAAAAAGAAGAAGAAAGGAAGTTTTCAAAGACTATGTGAGTCATGCAAAAGGACCCAGCGGCGGAAATTAAAAAGCTCCTACTGGCCAAAAGTGGAGCAATTTGAACATCAATTTGAGTAACAACTATAACGGACTGACGCACACATAATATCCTACAATTTATTCACCCTACTGTTGATAGCCATTTGAACTATTTCCAGTTTTAGCTATCATGAATAATGCTGCTATAAATACACATCTATCCTGATACACACACATTTTTCCAGGATATATCCTGAGTTGCAGAACTTGAAGGTCGTAAGATTGTATATTCATCTTTATTGGGTAAGGCCAATCTATTTTGTGCTCCTTTAACCTTTGGTCGCTTAAAAAATCATTGTCTAATGGCACATAATACCTACGTACTGTAAGTACATAGTCATCTCCCTCTATGTCACCCCATTCATTAAAATGCCATAAGGAAACCAGTTATTGGTTCAGTTTTTGACCGTTTTAGAATTATTTGGGGTAAATTAATGCCATGAATACCGATTTTGTTAGCTACTGAATATTTGAACATGTTGCTTTACCATGGTGCCAACATAATAGTAAAATAATACAGCTTACTGGAAAAACAAAAAAAGTACCTATTAAATGTAATTGTCTTTGAAGGGCTCTTTGGTAATTAAATTTGCAGACTTTATAATGATTACAAAAGTACCTGATAGGGTTAGCACCTCTAGCTTAACATTATAGCACACTGGGTTAAATCTAACTCTCTATCTTGCATAGGCGGAGATTTCATTTTTTCTAGGAAGACAGTATCAGTTTGTAGTAACAAATCTAAACAGAAGTTATCAATCACAGTTTATGAAAACTAACAAATGTCTACTGGAAAGAATAGTTGAGATGTGTATCTAAAATATAATGATACCCTCTTCCTTTATCCCTAAACCAACTAAATGAGATTCGGTTTATAGCAAAATCAGAAAGTAAACTTCCAGACCAAGTAAAACAAGAAAGTAAAAAACAAACAAACAAACTACAAGTCCTGGCTGGTGTGCCTCAGCTGGTTAAGCATCATCCCATGCACCAAAAGGTCGCCAGTTCGATTCCCTGTCAGAGCACATGCCAGGGTTGCAGGCTCAATCCCCAGTAGAGTGTTTGCAGGAGGCAGTCAATTGATGTTTCTCTCTCACATCAATGTTTCTCTCTCTCTCTCCCCCTCTCCCTTCCTATCTCTTTAAAATCAATAAAAACATATTTAAAAAAACAAAATAAGATACTCTTTGTCTTTTGTTTGGCTCAGCGGTTAGAGCTTCGGCCTGCGGTCCGGAGAGACCCGGGTTCGGTTCCCGCTAAGGGCATGTGCCTCGGTTGCAGTTTGTCCCCGGCCCTGGTTGGTCGTGTGGGTGGCAGCCACTCGATGTGTCCCTTTCACATCGATGTTTCTCTCTCTCTCTCTCTTCCTCTCTCTCCCTCCCACTCTATCTGTACAAAAAATGGAAAAATGTCCTCAGGTGAGGATGAAAAAAAAAAAGAGAGATGGTTCAACAAAATTATATAAGTAAATGGGTAGGAAGGTGGGTGAGGTGGGTGGATTACAGAAAGAGGGGGAGAGAAAGAAAGGAGCAGAGAGCAGAAAGGGCAAAATATATGTAGTGAATCCAGGGTGTTCTTTAAACTATTCTAGCAAATTTATGTACATTTAAAGTTTTTAAAGTAAAAAATTGAAGAGAAAAAATATCTAGTAGAATATATGCCAAAAGGTTGATTCTCTATGAATTACAAAACTACAAGCAGTATTTTTAAATTGCTGTTAATCTGGATCTTTCTACAATAATCACATATCACTTATATAATAAAAAAGGTAAAATGTTCTAAATGAATTCTACTATTTTAAGCTAAAAAAAAAAAAAAAAAAAGATAATTAGATGCACTTGCATATACTTACACATCCACAGGAATCTGGTCCCCCGTTGAAAAGGAAACAGGCTATGCTCACAATCTCTGCCTCTATCTTCCGCAGACCTGGGAAGATATCTGGATGCAGTGGATTACTCCATGCAAAATCTCCATAAGCCTGCAAAGGAATGCAAGCAGACATGAAGCAAAACAATTACACTGCACAGGACAAAGAATCATACACTAACAAAAGTTTCTAGGTTTTAGGCACAACATTAGAAACAGGAAAATGATAAGTAAGATATGTTCCCCAACCTAAAGAAGATCAAAATATAGTGGAGGAGACAGACATGCAAATAAATTATTTTACAATGTGGTAGGAGAGAGAGTATAAATGTGATCAAAAGCACAGACTAAAACACCAAGCAGATTCAGTTTAAAAGTTTAGCTTTGCCTGTCACTTCTAGCTGTGTAATCTCAGGACAAATAACCTCTCTGAGGCTGTTTTCTCATCTGCCAAAAGGGATAATTAAGGTACTGATCTGATAGGGTTCTAGTGATAAGCAAATAACTAACATAATGCATGCAAAGCACTTAGTCAAGTGTCTGGCACAAAGCAGCTATTGTTCTAAGTGCAATACCAGATGTGTGTGTGTGAAGGTAAGGGGCCTTAAAGAGGGAATAATGAACATCCTGAGTGATCTGGAAATGTCTGCTGAGTGGAACCTTGAGCAATAAACAGGAATTCATCCTTTAGCACAGGTGGAGAGAAAAAGAGAAAAGCAGAAGTTAGTGTCTACGTGGGAAAGGAATAGGAGTGGTTGCACAAACTAGGTGGGAGCTGGCTCATGAAAGCACTTGTATTTCCTGCCTCATAAGCAGTTTGTATTTAATCCTGTACATGATAGGAAGCCACTGAAGGATTTTAAACACAGAAATAAGATTGGAACATTATGTCAAGATACAGCTGCCCTGGCCGGTTTGGCTCAGCGGTTAGAGCGTCGGCCTGCGGTCCAGAGAGACCCGGGTTCGGTTCCCGCTAAGGGCACATACCTCAGTTGCAGTTTGTCCCCGGCCCTGGTTGGTCGTGTGGGTGGCAGCCACTCAATGTGTCCCCTTCACGTCGATGTTTCTCTCTCTCTCTTCCTCTCTCTCCCTCCCACTCTATCTGAACAAAAAATAGAAAAATGTCCTCGGGTGAGGATAAAAATTAAAAATAAAAAAATAAAAAAAGATACAGCTGAGCAAAACCTATAATATTTAGTAAGGTATAAGCAGTTTCTTGATTATAATAATCAAACACAAAGACCTCAGATACCATCGTCAATGCCAATATCACATGACACAGTGGAATTTCAAAAATAAATGGACTAGAAATGGAAGATGCTAAAGGCAATTCTAAAGTCAACAAAAAAATGAGAATTATTTTAATTATAAGTGAAACTATACTTATTCTCAGATCATCTGATTTGAGAGTTAGGTAGTAAAGGAAATTATGACCAAGTTTCTATCCCTGTCTCTTCTTATCAAACAAAATATGTGTTATTATTAATAATCTCAAACGCCGGGACCACCTTCCTGTATAATCTGCCTTCTACACAGTGCAACAAGCCTGGAAACATAAGTAACATTTTACTTTATCACAAATTGAAGATATCTTTGACAATATTATACATATTTACCTGTTTGGGTGAAGAGAGACTTTCTAAACTTCTTTAGTTTTATTTTAACAGTAAACTTTTCTTAAGTAATATTTAAATGACGAAAATAAAGAGACACACATGCAGCAATGCGAAGTGGCACCGGCCACCCACACTCCCTTCGAGTACTGGCACTCACCTTCACGAGGAGCTCGGTGAGCCTCTCCTCCCCATTGTACACCGCTCCGGAGGCTCTCCCTTCTTGCCACGTGACATCTGCAGAGAAAATTAACACCACTGGGTCAGAAAGCAGAAACTTTTGGGAAGACAAGTAGGTTCTAAAAATAAAAAATAAAAAATGCAAATCAATCCCTCTGAGTAAAAAAGAAATAAAAAGTTTGAGAGGAAATCCAAAGGCATCCTTATATTACATCAAGAAAGAAAAAATTCCAATATAGCTACCACAGCAAAATAAAGATCATCAATTAGTATCAACAAGAGTCTAAAAAAGATACCCACAGCACCTAGGTACAACACAGTCCAATAAATATGCTGTCCTCTTCCCCCAACTGCCTTCTGACAGCAGAAAAATTTTCCTCTATCTATATACTTGTTTTCTGTTCTCTGTAAGGCTTAGCTTGACCATTTTCAGCAGTGCTTCCTTCTTTCTTCCCTCCCTTCCTATCTAGTCACAGGAAGTGTGGAAACCGTTAAGAGGAGAGCAACACAAAAGTGAAATTTCAGTACACAGGCATCAGGGTTGGAGTCAGGGAACTAAATCCATGTCTCCACAAACCACATTGAGACATCGTAATCTCAGGGGCCCCTCCTTCAGACGAGCCTGGAAACCCAAACAGAATTAGCTACCTGCTTCCTGCAACCCCTGCTGCTCCATCCAGGATCAGGAACAGTCAACACAGATAAAGCTCACAGGAAAGCTTCCTGACCAGAATATAAGGCCCAACTTTCCACTTCCTGTCTGAAGTTCACATGGCACACTCTACGTTACACCAACCAATCTGTTAATATGGGTGTCCCAGGTCCTTCTGCTACAATATATGGCTGTGCCCTATTGAAAATGGATAGTGAGAAAGCTATTACAGAAACACACTAATTAAAGACCATAGCCATGGGCTCCACAAAGCAATGGCTCCAACAAGAGAGAACAAGACTGAGTAGTGGACTAATTCCTGTATCTCAAGCAATGTGCCAAACTCTGGCTTTCTGCCAGTTTGACTTCCCTCTTTCCTTAGAGGACACTGCCCTGTACCTGAAAAACACATGCCCTGAAAAATATGTGTTTTCAGACCAAAGACCACCAGACTTTCAAAAATAGGATACATGGTTTCATTTCCTGTTCTTTTACTGCTGCTACAGAGTATGGCAATGGACAGTGACTTAAAAATGGAAGAGAAGACAATATGGTGGCAGCAACCAGCCCTCATAATCATAGAAATTCTTAATATATAGGTCTCAGAGTGATGATCCCTGCTTTATATCATCTATAAATCCTAAACTGTACCTAATTTCGTACCAACCAATGTCAAAAGCTCAACACATTTCAATTAAACATTTTAAAATGTATTTTTTGAAATGCAATGTGGTATCCTGGGTTGGATCCTAGAACATAAAAAAAGACATTGGTGGAAAAACTGGTGAACTTAGAATAGAATTTGTAGTTCAGTTAATAGAACTGTACTAATGTTAATTTTTTAGTTTTGACAACTGTTATTTTAAATGTTAAAATCAAGAAACGCTGGCTAAGGAATATATGGGAAATCTCTGTATCATCTTGCAAATGTTCTATAAATGTGAAATTATGCCAAACTAAAAAGCCTACTTTTAAAAAGTATTCATAATATGACTTTAATCTATAACAAACATATGTTTATGTCAATAATAATTAACATTTACTGAGCACTTATATATGCCAGGTATTATACATTTACATGTATGATCTCATTCAATCTTTATAATCATCCTTTCAAGTAAATATTATTACTATTATTCCCATTGTAGAGAAACAGAAATTGAAGCATAGAGAAGTTAAGTAACTTAAGGTAACACTGTAAGAGGCTGAGCCAGGATGTGAATTCAGGCTTCCATGGGCTGTATTCTTAAATATGAAGCTACTTATACTTGGCATATTTATCCTTCCTCACATGTATATACATGTGTGTGTGTATTTATTACATAAAAACACTGCTAAGATTCTGATACACACACAAACACACACAAAAATCTTTGTTTATCTTTTGATAAAGGAAATATAGTGGCTTTTTCTTTTCTTTCTTTTTTTCTTGTTAATCCTCACCCAAGGATATTTTTTCCACTGATTTTTAGAAAGAGTGGAAGAAAGGGAGAGACAGAGGAAGAGAGACATCCATGTGAGAGAGACATGTCCTGACCAGAGCCGGGGTTCAAACTTGCTATCCAGATACGTGCCCTTGACTGGGAATTAAACCCATGATGACCCTTTGGTACGTGGGCCGACACTCTATCCACTGAGCCACACTGGCCAGGGCTCTTTTTTTGCCTTTATGAAGACTTCACAATTTCTATCATGGATCTGTATTTCATTTTTATTACATATATTATCTTTTTAAAGAACAAAAGTATCTGTTTTATTCAGGTTTACAAAAGAAAACAGGGCTAAGTTCAACTATCTCTGAGATTTGTTTGTTTTATGGATGAAGGATGAATCTAACTATAATTTTTTAAATATGAAAGTCAACATCTGAGCAAGGGAGTGGGGCCTGCTGAGCATGTAAGTACCAGGGTCGAACTGTTCTTAACCTTCACAAACATTAACTGGCCAGCCCAGCCCGGTTACTGAAGCAGGTAGCATGCATTTACTGAGTCATACCCATAGAGCTGTACTCCTTGAGCTTCTCCAGAACTGCAGTCGAGCTCAGACCTTGAGAGGGCAGAACTTTCACATACTCTTTCTCCACTTTCAGAAATGACATGTTCTTGCTAATATCATCCTTGGCCTTGTTCAACTCATCTTGGATCTCCAAAGATAAGAAAAACAAAGTTAACTAGGAGATGGAAGAATGCAGTATAGAGAATAGAAGAACCAGTTAGGACACCAAGTCAACTGCCAAAGGCTGGGCCCCACACAAGTACTACAGCAAAAGGAAGGTATTTTCTCATAAGAGATACGGTGACAGTTTGAGCAACTACTTTCTGGCACGTGGAATACTTTTTAGAAGTCTGAAAAGTAAGCTTTCTCTCTGAAGGTCAAAGATACACTGGATCCACCCCTCATTCCTCTACCATGTCAACATCACCACTGCTTGCTTGCTTTGCATTTGCTTATGTCAGCACTTCTTTGAGGACAACATTTGGACCTTGTTCCTGCCCTGGAAGCAGCTACAGTGTATCCACTAAAGAAACAAAGGCAGAGCCATGGACAGGCACCAGAAAACAGGCCAAGCAGCAGTAAAAAGGATTCTGGTGCTTGTGCATGTGATGAGCTCCTTCAAAAGACATGTACAAGGCACAGGAGGAACCCAGAGGCCCTGCCCAACTTCCCCCATATAAGCTCGAGACATCCCGGGAAGTGCCGGGAAGACCGCATGCTATCTCCAGGCTGTCCCCAGCTTGTACTGTTTGACCCTTAAGTGCCAAGGGGAGCGAAAAATCCTTTCTGCTACAGAATTTATCCCATAGAAATAACTACGGTTATTTCTTTTCCATCCTCATAGCAAAAGTTTTCTGGGACATTTTCCTTTATTTATTCACTTACTCAATATTTGTTGAACTACTACTGTGGGCCAGGAGTACATAGTGAACAAAACAAACTGAGGAGATACACGGTGAATGAAGCTTATTTGTAGCAGCAGAGACAGAAAATAAAAGTCAGGTGATGAAAAGCACTGGGTGGGGGGGCGGGGCAGGAGGAGAGCAGAGTAAAGAGGTAGAATGGCAGGGTCTGATATTCGTGCTTGGGTGGTAGGTTGAGGGATGAGTGCCTACAATTTGTGTGTCACAGTTCAGCAAGATGGCCAAGTTCTCAATCCAAACATTCAGATTTTCTCATCTCTAGCTGTGGATGATTAGAATACAAAGGATCTCCTTTAGATGTGGCCCTCAATGAATCCACAGGGAAAGCCAGTCCTGTAAACATATCTACAACAGTCTAACGGACAGGCACTGGCAAGTAGCAGAGACCACATTCTTGGGCAATGTCAGGGCATGTGATAAACATGAAGATAATAAGTTGTCAATAAAGAATTATGCTTCAAAAGTAGCACCTGTGCAACAGAAACAAACTACGAAAGCTGAACTTTCGCACTTAGAAAATGCTGTTGTTACAAAATGAAACAGATAAAAAATGATACTGGGAGTTATCTTAGAAAGCACAGCAAGTACTTCGTACCTCTAATTCTTGCCTCAGAACTTCTATCACATTTTCATTTCTTCACAGCATTTATTTCAAAATGAAATTCTTATGTATTTGTTTACTTATGTAGTTTGTCTTTCCTACTGAAATATAAGTTCCACAGAGGAAGGACTTGGTCTTATTCACCACTATATCCCCAGCACCCAGAATAATACCTGGCACTGAGCATGGGCTCAATAAACATGTGCTCAATAAGTGAATGTAAGTGAATGAATGAGAGACAGATACACACATCTCACTCAAAACAAAGAACTTCTTGTCCCTGAGCCTCAAAGTCTGCTTCCAAAATATGAAAAGTTATTAATTATATAGTTTCTAAGTCCCTTCCAATGCTGTTAGTTTATCTATTTAAGAATGGGTTCTGAAACCCTAGCAATGTCTCAAAATCTAAAATTGAAAGAGAAAAGCATGAATAAGGGCAGAAAAAATACAGGGACTGATAAGGGGAAATGCTATTATTATCCTCTATGAGCCAATCCATCTCTTATATCTTCCCTCTTCCCCTGCCCCTTATTCTATAAGGACCAAAGTAGATTTAATTTGAGGGCTTAATATAATTTGAGGTCAAATGAAAGCCTATCTCCTCTCAAGCCCCATCTACTTCCCCAAAGGAAATGAACCTGATAATACATAGTTTGGGAGAATTAGTACAGTGGTCTGAATGGATTTCAGTCAAAGGCAAAAGATAACTGACACCTTTGCTGATCTGGCTAGAAAAGGGAATTGAAAGCCAAAAGTAAAAGAAACATTGAGGGGAAGCTGAGGTGAAGGGTACGGTACTAGGGGAGATGATGACATCAATAATTCGTTTGTCTGCCTTAAAGCTTGCAAATGGGCCTACCCTGTTTACCTCCATCTGTGATAAAGAGCTGGTGGTGGGATGGGTACAGGGGTGACTATCTTATCCTCAGTGTGGGTGAGGGTAGAGAAGATACAGTGAAAGGAACATACTAGACTATGAATAGGTACAAAGAGCAAGAGAATAGCTCTGTTATCTAAGTTTCTAAACCTGGGATCAGCAAACCACAACCCAAATCTGGACTACACCTGTTTTTGTAAAGAAAGGTTTCCTGGAACATAGCCAAGCTCAGTCCTCTACCTAAGATCCTGTCACTACATTCCCTCCACAAGGGCAGAGTTGAGGCATTGTGACAGAATGGCATGACCTGCAAAGCCTAAAATGTTTCATAGCCAGCACTTTAAAGAAGAAAGTGTGCCAACCCTGATCGAAACCATGTAAGCACCCATCCCCCACATAAATATCTAAAATCAGCCCAGCCAAGTGTTACTCCAAAGCATCATGTCACTTCTGTCAAGTTTTCTAATTTAAAATTCTTGCCAAACATATCCATTCCCCTTTGGACACATATGTTGCAGAAAAGGTTAAGTCGGGTTTCTCAGTCTTGGAACTTCTGACATGTTGAGCTGATAATTCTCTGTTGGGGTGGTTGGAGGGGGGCCTGTCCTGTGCATTGTAGGATGTTTAGCAGCACCCCTGGCCACTATCCACTAAATGCCAACAGCATTCCCTTCCAGTTGTGACAACCAAAAGTGTCTCCAAACACTGTCAAATGTTCCTTGGAGGTGGGGAATAACACCCCCCCCCCCACCTTGAGAATACCAGGTTTAGTTAAAAAGAAACAGAAACAGGTATGACCAGGGGGTTGGGTAGAAGAGGAAGATGTATATAGATTCCACTTACCTTGCGACCAATAATAGGCATCTTCCTGATGAGCTTAAAGATTTTCTTTTTAAACCTTGACCATAAACCTAAAATAAACAAATGGTTCTATTATCCAAACAAACTTCCATCTTGAAAGGATGGCCTACATGAAAGCAATAAATTCCTGCTCTGGGAGGTCCAGGTGGCAAAATTATGTTCTAGACAAGAAACTAAAACTGAAGAGGGTTTAAGCTGCACTCTGAAATATCTGTGAAGCCTTACAATGATTAATTTCTTAGGAGTTTTTATGTAAACTGCAAATTCAGAAAAATCAACATAAGCAGTAATAGTTACACAAGAGTCCTATTATAATAGGACTTTACCAGTCAAAAACAATGTTCCACTTCCCATTTAAACTAATTTTAAAAATCAGAACCAAACTAAAAGGCAAGAAATCAGTCTAATCATCAGCATGAGTTCCAAAGCTAGTGAACCTGCTTTACAGAGAAGACAGTATACTTACTCTCTGGCTGGAAGACAAACTCATATACCCAGACTATCAGCAGGGTGCATACGACACTCCATACAATTAACTGCCAGGGCTCGTATTTGGTGCAATGCCCATTTACATAATTCTTGGCCTTTGTGGAATATACTTCCAAAATCTCGAAGTAGGGCTCAAAGACCTTCTAGAAGTACAAGAGAAAAAAAATAAATATTACATTTAGAAAGAGAAAGGAAGTCTGTTCTTAGTTTGTTCTTCAACTCTCATTTCTCAAGGGCAAAGCCATTCATGATCTGGCCCCACCCAAACAATAATCTTATCACCCTCTAAGGTCCTCAACGCCCTGCTGCTTTCACTCTGGTGTACACTGCCCCTTACAAGTCATGTGGACTTTGATAGGATTTCTAATCTTCTGCCTATCCTGTAAAATAAAGTTAAGCTAGATCATCATTTCAGCTCTAAAGCCTCTGTATGACTACAGCATTTACTGTCCCACAGTGTCTTAACTCAAACTAACTCTCTCAATACGAATGTTCTCTCTCTTCTTCTCCACTTTATCTGAATCTTTCCCACCCTCTGTCCAGGGGTCAGAGAATGTCTATAAAAGGCCAGAGTAAATGCTTTAGGAAAACTCTGCTCTAAAGCCCTTTTGACTAAAAAACTCTGAGAGCCAGGGACATATCTTATCATTATATGTGTCCCTCACAATACCTGGAACAAACGAAAAAAGTCCGCTTGTCTGAAAATTTACCAGAATATCCCACTCATGAGAATTCATCTCTCCTTTCAAATTCTCAAATACTCACTTGTGACTTACAGAGCTTATCACAAATCACCTTGCAGTCTACTCATCTGTTTCTTATCTCCTTGACTATATGGTTAGTCCTTGAAGACAGATCTTAGTCATATTTACAAGCCCCCCTGTGCCCTGTAAAAAATAAGTTCATCTGATAGTTTGTTATTCATTCACTTCCTCAACATTTATTACACATCTCCAGTGTTTAGATATTAAGCTGGGAGAGCAATAAGGTAGATATCATAGGTACCTGCCCTTACTCAGCTTATCCTGTAATAAGAGAGGGCTATGTGTGTATGTGCATATCATATACACATATATGCATACACAAGCACACAGACATATAAACAATCAAAACTCTTCAGCAAAAACACTATAAAAAGGATGTGAGTGAGGTGCTAATAGACCACTGAGGAAGGCCTATCTAACTCTACCTAAGAGGAGATGAGGATGATATGACAGAAGATAAAAATCTAAGCTGGTTAAAAAGATAAAACAATGATCACAGAAAATTCTCTAGGCAGAAAAGTTAAAGAAAAAAAAGCCATACCAGGAAGAAAGAAAAGTAGCTGCAAATGCATAAAAAGAATCTGGGAATAGCAAAAAGTTTGTGTGGTGGGAAGGTAAGCTAGGTGACAGGAGGGACCCTATCTGGTTTATCCAGTACCAAATACCCAACATATAGGAAAGTGCCCGGCACACAATTTGTATTGAATAAAAACTAGGACAGTGGCTGACAGTAAATGAGTAAATATGTCAATCAGAGCACTGAGGCTGGGAGAAGTACACTAAGTCCAGATTACAAATGGTCTTGGAAAATAAACAGACAAACATGGCCCAGCCTACGTGGTTCAGTGGATTAAGTGTTGTCCCATGCATCAGGAGGTCACTAGTTTGATTCTGGGCTTGATCCCCAGTAGGGGGCATGCAGGAGGCAGCTGTTTCTCCCTCCCCCCACCCCCAAAACAATCAAATTTTTTAAAAAGCATGGAAAGTGGAGTATAAATTGACAGGCACTTTTTAAAATGTAACTTGCTAGTATTTGTTAACATTTGAAATGTATATTCATTTTGACCCAGAAATTCCACTTTTTGGCATCTTACACCTATGTGTAGACACTCACTTCAGTATTCTCTGCAACAAAGAAAAAATATAAATAATAGCCCGCCGGTCTGGCTCACTGGTTGAGTGTGGACCCATGCACCAAGAGGTCACTGGTCTGATTCCCAGTCAGGGCATATGCCCAGGTTGAGGGCTCAATATCCAGTGGGGAGCAGGCAAGAGGCAGCCAATCGATGTTTTCTCTCATCAATGTTTCTATCTCTCTCTGCCTCTCCCTTCCTCTCTCTCTAAAATAAATTTAAAAAAATATTTAAAATATATATATAATAAAAATTTCCATTCACAGAGGAATGGTTGCATAAACTATAATACACACACATTTTGTTTTAAATTCTCACCCAAGTACATGTTTTTCATTGATTTTTGAGAGAGAGTAGGGGGGAGGGAAAAAGAGAGAGAGAAATATCAATGTGAGAGAAACATCGATGGGTTGCTTCCTGTATGTGCCCCAACTGATCAAATCCACAACCTAGATATGTGCCCTGACCAGGAATCAAACACACAACGTTCTGGTTTAGGGATGATGCTCCAACCAACGAGCCACCTGGCCAGAGCTATAATACACACATTTTAATACAGCATTAAAAAGAAGGTAGATCTGAATGAACTACATGGAAATATTTCCAGAATATAATGTTGAGTTAAAAAAAAAAAAAGCAAACTGTTAAACAACAAAAGACATGGTTGTTAATCAGGAGAGTAATTTTTTTAAAAAAGGTAACTTGTTGGGAGACAAATAAAAGGAGGACAGAGATTAGAAACAAAATTTTTAGTTAAGAGGATCACTGAAACAGTCCAGGAGAAAAATAAACTAGGTTTGGCCTTAAGCAGTACAACACTGGGGACAAAAAGCAGTATAGATTTGAAAAACATTTTTGGCAGTAGAACAAATAGAGTTTGATAACTTATTAGCTATAGGAAGTATGGAGCAGAAAGAGTACAGATAATTCCAAATTTTCAAATTCAAGTTTGAGAGACTAAGGGGTGTCACAATTAACCATGGTAAACTAGAACAGGAAGGGAAGCAGAAGAAGGTAGAAGAGAATCTGAGGAAAAAGTAACAATTATCTTTTGAGTAATATTCCTATTGGATATCTACACGCAATGTTCTAATAGGTTCATGAAAGCTTAGAAGGACAGGTGCTCAACAAATGTTTGTTGAAAACATTCATACTCTTAGCAATTAGGCTGTGGTACAAGATAATTAACTTTAGGCAAGTACTGGGTTCCCTGGAGGGCAACCCAAGGAAACATGGCTTATCTGCAACCTCCTCCTAGCTCGGTGAACATTCCCCAGAGCGCACTGTTGCTATCAACAACTTCATCCTGTGCACCAGTGGCAGTGGCGGTCATGACCTGAGGAAAGACTAGAGGAGTCCATCATCATCACAAATATGTCGTGATTTCCATCATTATAAAGAATCTTGTAGTGTTAAAACTGTGATCAAGCCCTGGCCGGTTTGGCTCAGCGGTTGGAGCGTCCGCCTGCGGTCCGGAGAGACCCGGGTTCGGTTCCCGCTAAGGGCATGTACCTCGGTTGCAGTTTGTCCCCGGCCCTGGTTGGTCGTGCGGGTGGCAGCCACTCGATGTGTCCCTTTCACATCGATGTTTCCCGCTCTCTCTCTTCCTCTCTCTCCCTCCCACTCTGTCTGTACAAAAAATGGAAAAATGTCCTCGGATGAGGATTAAAAAAAAAAAAAAAAAAAAAAAATGTGATCAAACCAAATGGTTAAATAGTGTGGATGAACGAGATGACCGATGATCATTCATTCAGATCAGTTTTTCCTCTGGTAATATAGTTCCTAATTTACCCAGAAAATAGAGGTTATTACCAATGTCAAAAGATAACTGTAGACATTACCAACTCTTCACACAGCACCAAACAATAAAGCAATATAACTGGTATTAGGGAGAGGGCTATGTGTGTATGTGCATATCATACACACATATATGCATACACAAGCACACAGACATATAAACAAATAATCAAAACTCTTCAGCAAAAACACTATAAAAAGGATGTAGTGAGGTGCTAACTAATTTAATTTGTTTAAGCCTATTTAGATATGAAGACATTCTATGAAATTGCTAACATCTATGAAATTATACTCGGCAAGAATATATTTTCTTAGTAATTGCTACGAGAAGATAATGGGAGGCCTTGAATTCAAAGTCCTTAACAGGAAATATAGTTCTCCATTCTCTTACTCCAAAGACAGAATGATACTGTACTTGGATGGATCCTAGCAAGGTTTCTGAGTAGGCAACTAGTTGGTCACAGAAATTACATCTCCTGGCCTCATTTCAAGATCCTTCTTGGTTACTACAAACGACCTAGGCTCAGTCCCCAGTGAATGGAAGCATCTCACAACACTGACAGGTCATTGCATTATAGGGCTCTGTGGAGTAATGTATGCTATCTCCTTGGAAAAAAGAATAAAGCAGTTCCTTGGGGCCTTGCAAACAGCACAAACCCCAGGATGAGTCCTGATGCAATACTCCAGCCCTCTGGGAAGTAACAATCTAAATGCTGAAGGAATATTCAAAGACCAAGCCCACATTTTCTCTTTACAACATAGACCCCAACGTGAAACAGCATGCCTAAGCTTACACAGACAGGCTTGTGTCAGAGTGGAGACTAGGAACCCAGGCCTCCTTACTCATTACTCAGAACTCTTCCAAGTCTTTATTTTTACTCTTCATAGGAAGAGAACACATTATGATCCAGTGTCATCCCAAGAGTTCTCTTTTCACAATGTATGTTCTTATGTAACTCTCAGCAAATTATTTCACCAATCTGCTTCCCCAATTCTTTATCTAGAAGGGATATGAAATAATCATCACAAAACAAATAAATTGTATCTGTGTGTGTGTGTGTGTGTGTGTGTGTGTGTGTGTGTGTGTTATCTCCAGCCCCTGCTTAACAGAACAGTAGTTCTGGTAAAATTTACCCACACAAAGCATTCCTTCCTTCACACTGTTATAAAATTGGAAATGTATTCCTCTAGAGAAAAAAAGGCTTTGCCCAATGAAAATATATAAAATGGTAGTAAAGAATATCATAAATCTTTTGAAAGCATATTATGAAGGGGAAATAATATATAAACCTTTGCAGTATGAAGATTCAAAATATTAAATACTTTAAGAAGCTATTGTCAAATAATGATGACTTAACTACCAGCCTTTCTCTTTTTATTCTAATGATTTAGGTATTAGCTGATGCCTAAAAAGATATCAAAATAGTTCTCAATAATCCTGATCATTATTGTACAGCTTTTACAACTTTATGAGAGTTTAGTACCCTACTATTCCCAAACATAATGAACTCCTTCAGCACCCAAATCACTTCAAGAGAGCAAGACACTTTCATGAATGTAACAGGACAGTAGAAGTCCACAAGTTCTGTAAATTTGGGGCATGCTACTTGTGAGACCCATGAGTTTCAAACTTTTCTAATACAGTACCACAGAAACAAATTTTACAACATAATCTAGTACCAATAGCAACAAAAAGATAGAAAACCAAGCCAAGTTTTCAAAATAATACCTAACACCTTATTACTTATGGTGCATTCATTCACATTTCTATTTCTTCCTTCTTTTTTTTTTTTTTACCCTCACCCAAGGACATTTTTGCATTTATCGTCAGATAGAGCAGGAGGGAGAGAGGGAGGAAGAGAGAGAGAGAGAAACATCGACATGAGAGAGACACACTGAATAGTCATCACTCACACGACCCCAACCGGGGCCGGGGACAAACGGCAACTGAAGTACATGCCCTTAGCGGGACCCAAACCCGGGACTCTCTGGTCGGCAGACCGAGGCTCTAACTGCTGAGCCAAACCAGCCAGGGCTCTTCCTTCTTGTTTTAAATGCTTGACCCCACTAAGTTGATTATGTGTCCCTCTATGAATCATGACCTTCAGATTTGAAACCAGTGCCCTAGAGTGATTTTACTCCTGGTTTCCTTAAATTTAGAATGTGGTTATATAATGAATGCAGTAAAGGTAATTAACATCAGCATTATTTTCACTCTACACAATCTCAGTGACTTTAATACTTATGATTTATTCTCTTAACATTTTTGTGAGGCCAGGATTATGATGTGATGAAGTAAAGTCCATGGAGATTCAGAATTCTTCAGTCACAAGTTACTTTCCTATAAGTACTAGCCCAGAGCTATCCCCAATGTCAATTAATCTCTTTTAGTCCCTAAATCACTCCAAGAGCCCAAGATTCTATAAGCAAACTTCCCATACTGGCACTATCTGCATCCTTCTCCCCCAAGAAAAACTTCTTTGAGAACTAGTACTGTACTTGACCAACTGCCAATTAAGCAGTGATTTTTCCCCCCACTCAATTTCTTAATTACCAATTTATAGCAGAAGAAACATTCTAAAAGCAAGTATTACTAAAAGATAAAGCCACCCAGCAGACATTTCCAGACCCACACTGGGTGGTGCTTCTTCCCTTGGAGCTAATTCATACGGTAACAATCAAATTTAACAGGGGCTAGCCATCTGCATTTGTCTTGCTCAAGAACAATGGCACCTCCACTCAGGCAGTCTCTAGAACTGCCTACCACACCATCCTAAGAAGAAATCTGGCCCTGGCAGGTTGGACTTAGTGGTCAGAGCATCAGCCTGCAGATCCAAGCGTAGTGGGTTCAATTCCCAGTCAAGGGCATGTACCTCAGTTGCAGGTTCGATCCCCAACCCCTGTTGGGATCGTGTGGG